CACACACACACACACACACACACACACACACACACACACACACACACACACACACAAACAAAAAAAAGAACTTCCCCCCTTTTTTTTTCTCAGAGGCCCCGCGTGGCCTCAAATTTTTGTTAATATTTTTGTGGTTTATGACGCGACATCCCACTCGGGTCTAAAACACCCCTCCCCAACTTTTTTTTTTTCCTCGACCCCTTATTCTCGGACCCCTTATTTCCGAGGTGCGCCGCACCCCATGCGCGCGCGTCGTGCGCCGTGCGCAGTGTGGCGCCTGTGCGCCGTGCAGCGCACGCCGATGCGCCGCAAGTATGGTTTAAAGTCTGTATGTCTGTTTTCTGGTCTTTCTTCTTTCCCCCGTTTTTTTCTGAGTGTTTTCTGTCTGTTGGAGAGCACCCTCAAGAAGCGCTAAACAGTAGGTGGTCCAGTGTCTGGAGCGCCAACAGCACTCTTGGGGGGGCAGGGCTCGGTTTGCGATATCTGTGTTGCCTGTGGGTGATGGCGGATGTTCATCTGGGTGACTCCGGGCTCAGCGAGTGGTTGGAACCAACAGCCTGATGGGTTCAATTGTGATGTGAGTAGGTGATGTGCCCTTTTGCTCTGTGTTGGATGTGTAGACTGCCTTGTCTGCGCTCCGCCGCTGCCTTGCTGCTCGTCCTGCTTGTGTTGCATGTCGTTCTTTGCGAGGCTGTTGTGTTCAAGGTGTGGCGTGGTTGTGCTGTGAGTGTTGCTCTGTGCTTCGCTGCGCTGCTGCCTTGCTGCCCATCCGCTTGCCATGCCTTGTGTTCCTTGCTTGTGTGCCTCATAGTGTAGCTGCCGTGTTGCTGCTTCCTTGTGCTTCGCTGCGCTGTCGGCCTGTCGCCCTGCTGCTTGTCCGCTTGCCTATCCGCATGTTGTGGCATCCGTGTTTCTTGCTTGTGTGCCGTGTAGTATGGCTGCTGTGTTGGTGCTGCCTTGTGCTTCGCGCACGGGATAGTTGGTGGAAAGCGCCCACACTGAAACCTTTTCGGTTTTGGGTACCCAAAGTTCGTCCGTTTGGTACTACCGCAGTCTACAGGCCCAAACAACTTCTTTGTGGGTGAAAGGCGACTTCGCGCCGTGGCCACAGATCCGTTGGCCTGTTTTGGGGGGACAATGAATCTGGCACTGTTTCTGCGCCAGATTCATGAACCAGTAGGGCTACTCTTTTTCAAGATACCTGCTCCATCCATTAGGGGTACCACCCTCGGCCTCTTTTACATCGGCATGAATCTGGCACATAAACAGCGCCAGATTCATGATCCTGTAGGGCCTGGGGAAGGTGGGAGGGAAGGCAAACAGCACAAGACAACAAAGAACATTGGGTGAAAGGCATGGGGTAGGCGGATGGGCAGGCAAAGAGCATAAGGCAGCAAGGGATACGACAGCAAGCAGTATGCAGCAAGGCAAACAGCACGAGGCAGCAAAGCGCATAGGCTGGGGGGCATGGGGGAGGTGGGAGGGCAGGCAAACAGCACAAGGCAACGAAGCACATCGGGTGAAAGGCATGGGGTAGGCGATGGGCCGGCAAACAGCATAAGGCAGCAAGGGAAACGACAGCAAGCCAAACAACGACAAGGCAAAAACAGCAACTGAAAAAAATACAAGTATAAAAAGGGCAAATTGCCAAACACTTAAAAAAAAAGAAAAAAAAAGATGATAGATTGTTTCGTCGGAGTTGCTCCGACTCATCAGGAGACTGAACCGTTGACAATCTGTGGAATTTCCGTATTTGATGGTTTGGTTCAAGAACCCTTTGACCCATGTTGTTATCAGGCTGTCCGCACGTGGAGCATAGCAGGGGGCAGCCAGTCAGCGAAGAACCAGGCAACGCTGCCAAGGCAACCCCGCTGCACAACGCCAACATGCCCAAACCTTTACATGTGGCCCATGATGTGGGGTACTACAGGCCCACTCATCGCCCCAAGGGCCCCCAGCCTATGCGCTGTGCTGCCTCGTGCTGTTTGCCTTGCTGCGTGCTGCTTGTCTGCCCACCTGCCTCCCCCGGTGCCTTCCAGCCAATGTCACTTGCTGCCGCTGGTCGTCCAATGCCTTCTTTGCCTTATGTCTTTTGCTTCATACACACACACTCAGAATCCTTTCCCTCGTTCCATTTCCTTTTTCCTCCCGCAGACCATGTACACTCGGCTTAGCAATCTCACAAGTCGTTCTCGCCCCTAGTCAAACCTAGTAGGAGTTCCCATCGAATGTGCTGTCCCTGCTAGTCCTTCGGCTCACCGACTGCATGTTGGAGCTAGCCTGGCATGGTGGCTCGTCTGTGGTGTGCCTAGAATACACACACACACACACACACACACACAGAAACACACACACAACACACACACACACAGTGTCACACACACAACGCACACACACACACACACACACACACACACACACACACACACACACACACATCACACCATCACAAACACAGTGTCACACAGTGTCACACACATCACACTGTCACAGACATTGCACACACACACTAAGTGTCACACACATCACACACACACACACACTGTCACACACACACACACACACACACACACACACACACACACACACACACACACACACACACAAATAGCAACTACAGGCATTGGGCAAATCAGTGTTGCGAGGGGCTGCATCAGTCCGGTGAAGCAGCCAATGCGTCAAGGTCCTGCACAAAAAACAGCAGTAAGTCTTGCCTTCTGGAGGCAATTCAGAAAACTGCAGCCAGACGATTCATATGGGGGCATTCACAACTTCACATGCATTCATTTCGAATACGATTATTTTTGGGTTATTCAAGGATGCCTTTGCAGAAAGGCACAGGACGCACATTGTCATACACGGGAGGGGGGGGGGGGGGGAGGGAATCGCGCAAAGCCGGCAGAGTGTGGCAGTATCATCAAACTTTATCAAACTAATCCTGGAAGTAAGGAGGGGGTAAAGGCCTGTTTGATTCTGTTAATTTCTGTAAACGGCTCTACTAGCCCAGCGGTACTGTGCCTGGACATGACCAGGGCGAGGTGCATGATTTGTACTAGAGATGCTACCATTCAGGTGCGTTTTGCTTAGACAACTTTGTATATTCAGAGAACCTTCCATGTTTGTTCACATCAACACATTAATTCGGAACAATACTACTGCATGTTACACAAATGGTCAATTGGGCATCATTCTGTTCACAGACAGGATTTGGCATTTTTAATTAACGAGGATTTGGCATTTTATGTGATAGATGGATGCGGAGATCAACAACCTTTTTTTATGTTTGTACCACTTTAGTCTCTGCGCCTCCCAAATGAACAAATAGAACAATATTATTTTTATTTTATTTTTTTTTCGTCAGACAGTCACACGGATTTTTCCGGCATACATATGGGTACGCAGGCCGGGTTAACTCGTCACTCGCGGAATATGGGTACCCATATGCATATGGGTACGCATATGGGTAGGCAGGCCAGTTGCAGTCTTTCAAGGGGGTCCCGAAAGGTTGCAGGAAAACCGGAAAGTGAAGTGAAACAAAAAAAAAAGAAAAAAAAAAAGAAAGGAAGGGTGTGGAGATTGGGAGGGGCGTGAACAGATTCTTCCAATTTGAAAGTTGTTGTTAACCCCATGTCGTCACAGACGCAGCTGTTGTCTCACACGAGACCCTCTCTCTCTCTCTCTCTCTCTCTCTCTCTCTCTCTCTCTCTCTCTCTCTCTCTCTCTCTCTCTCTGTCTTTCTCTCTCCAGACACCCACAGAAGGGCGTTGACATGTTCGTCCTCTGTTTCTTTACCGGTGTTGGTGTCACTGGGGAGGGCTTCTGAGAAGCGATCCCACAGAACTTGTCGCAGGACTTGGTTCGTTTTCTATTCTTTAAGAGTTTTAATCTTTCACATTACATTTTTTGGACTTTACAAATCTGATTCCAGTGTTCTCAACTTCGCTTGTTATTTCTGCACGAAAAGGTAAGGGAACGAAAAAACGAAGAACAAGGGGCAAAACCAACCAACCAACCAACCAACCAACCAACCAACCAACCAACCGACAAACCAACAAACAAGCAGGCGGCCAGGTTCGAATCCATTGAGTACACTGTGCTCGCGTCATCATGTCGATCAACGGAAAAGGGCACCTTCCCCGCAAACGGGACTTGGATCTCCTTCGCTCGTAGAGTTTCACGTTTATTCCCATACCCTCCTTATCTTTTTGGGAGAGGTGGTAGGTTACTCCCATGCGCCTGCTATGATGCTATCCTGTCCTGGAGGATTGTAGAACGAATTCGAAGTAGAAACAATGATTCCACATTCAGTAGCATTTTCGAGATCATCATGCTCTTGCATCAAATCCTAACAAACACGGAAAGAGAAAAACGAGACCCAAACCACATCATCATTACGCGGAGCAACCTGCACGCATCAGATATGGCCACAGGTAAACTCCACGTGGCGTCTCCAAATGTCGTAGAAGGAACTGTCGAAGAGATGAATACCATCACCTGCCCCCTCCTCGGCCCCTTTCAGCAGCTGCGTTATCCGCTCCTTCTCTTTCATGTCCGAAACAAGACTCAGCCGCCATCTAATCCTGTGAATGCAATTCCTCAAGCTATACCTAGCAGCTTYTTTGGCAACATACGCCTTGTCCTCCCGCGCAAGCTTCGACGCAACCTCCGCGGCATTGCGCGCTTCCTCTGGACTACACTTCCCCCAATTCTTTCCCAAAGACGCCGACACGGATCGACCGAAGGCGTCCCTCAACGTGACGGTCAAAATCCCATCGTCGTCAATCTCGAAGATGGCCGAGAAGGAGGATTTCTCTGTCCCACTGCCTGGCGGTCCCGGTATCAAACCATCTATAGTCACACACCCGAGGAACTCGTTCGCCTTAGGCTTCTCCCTTTCCCCTTCATACAGACTTACATTTGACGACGTGGCCCCGTCGTATGCAGCGCAGAGCCGCTCTTCGTGTCTAATCGGATACGGACTGTTTCGGTTAATCAATCTGAGAAACGAACCCCCTGCAGCCCACATGCCGATGGTTAACGGAACAGCCTCCACGACCGCTAGATCCGTGACCTTCAACTGCAGCTCTCCCGTAAGTAAAGCCGCCTGAACAGCAGCGCCATACGCCACGCACTCGTCTGGATGAATGCTCTTGCACAATTTGTTGGCGCCCAAAGAATCTGACAGCATCTCCTGCAGCTTCGGTATTCTGGTCGATCCCCCGGCCAGAATCACCTTCGAGATCTCCGACTTGTCTTTTATTCCCGCGTCCGTTATGGCCTTCTCGACGAAATTCATGCATTTTTGGAGGATGGGACCGATGAAAGACTCCAGAAACTGGCGACTCATGGTCATTTCGAAATCGAATCCTTCCGCGAGGCAATCGACACAGATCGTGGTAGCTTCGCGAAAGGACAGATCGTGCTTCAGATCCTCGCACTTGGCGCGCAGCCGATGCATCGCACGCGGGTTATCTCGAATCGGGATCCTGTGCAGACGCTGGAATTCGTCGGCGAAGTGCGTCACGAGAGCGTCGTCGATGTCTTCGCCGCCGAGATGAGTGTCGCCGGCAACGGCGATGACAGCGTACTCTTGCTTCTTCACCTTCATGATGGAGACGTCCAGGGTTCCCCCTCCCCAATCAACCACCATAACCATCTTCGACGATCCGGCAGCTGGATTGTCGATCCCGCTGCCTCCTCCTCCTCCGGCGCCGCCGCCATCGCTGCTGCTCCCTACATGACTCGTACGCAGGGCGTAGGCCAGAGCGGCGGCAGATGGCTCCGTTATCAATCTGACGGCCTCCAGCCCAGCAAGTCGCGCGGCCTCTTTCGTCGCTTGCTTCTGCGCCTGGGTAAAATTGGCCGGCACTCCAATCACGGCGCTCTTCACTGTGGAATCTAGATAAGCTTCGGCAATCTCCTTGAGTTTCTTCAGAATGATCGCTGAAATCTCCTCCGCCGTGTACCTCTTCTTCTGGCTCCCAGTCTTCACTTCGATCACACATTCTCCTCCTCCTCCTCCTCCTCCCCCACCGTCGCCACGCGTGAAAGCGTAGGACCACAACCCTTTGGCCATCTTCTTTACCGTCTCGACGACGTCTCCATAGCGCCTCCCCATCCACCTTTTCACCTGGAACAGGGTGTTCTTAGGATTGCGCGCCGCTTGATTCTTGGCCGACTTGCCGACAAGCACACCGCCTTCCTGTGTGAAGGCTACGCAGGACGGAGTGATCGATTGCCCGTGATCGTTGGGGATGATCTCCACGCGGCCATGGCTCCAGAACGCGACACAGCTGTTCGTCGTCCCCAGATCGATCCCGATGGCAGGAACCTCGAACTTCTTCTTCTTCTCATTTGTCGATGGGGAGGAGGATCCCAATGCTGCCGACTTCCACCTCACCCAATCCATATCAATTACCCTGCTGACGTAATCCCTTTCCCTTTCCCCTCCCCCCCTCCACCTTTCCGTACCCCCTTCGCTCAGCCCTCCCTCTCCCACTTCGCCCCCCCCCCCTGTATCCCCACGTTGCTTGTTCTCAAGCCTTAAGCTTTTCAAAAAAGTCCGCAAATTGCACGCACCCACTGATCATTGATCTCATAATTTCGCAAATCCGATAATCAACTACTCTGATTGAGATCGCGGATCCCAATGACGATGGCGCTTGCCACCACCTCCTCTCCTCTTCTCCATCTACTGCGTCTGCGTGAATCGCACAATCAACTAGTCCGTCTGCTAAGAAGCACTGTCAGAAATATTGAGGTTGCCTCATCAGCAGATCCAGATGCACACAAGAAGAAAGATTGAGGTTGCCTCGTCAGCAGGTCCAGATGCAAGTCCATCTGCTAAGAAGGACTGTCATGGAGATCGAGGTTGCCTCGTCAGCAGATCCAGATGCACATGCAGATGCAGATCCCGACGCAATCCGATTAAGATCAANGATCAAGAAATGCAAGTCCGTCCGCTAAGAAGGACTGTCATGGAGATCGAGGTTGCCTCGTCAGCAGATCCAGATGCACATGCAGATGCAGATCCTGACGCAATCCGATTAAGATAAAGAAGCGCGTGTTGACACGGACGATCATCCTTCTCTCGTTTTGGACAAATACGCAGGAGCATGACCTTAAGAACTTGCTAAGAGTCGAATCGGATGCGATTGTGAAGGCGCGACTCTACTGGAAGATGCATCCCCTCCTTAAACTTACGATGCTTGCCTTTTCTTGTGCCCTTCTCTTTTGGGGTTTTCTTTGGCTTCCTTTTCCAGAATCCTATGTTCGGATCTTTGAAAACAAGAACATCACGATGCAAGATGCAAATGCATCCCGCAATCAACCAATCAATCCAATCCAATCAATCAATCAATCATTGCTCGTCACGCACTCTATAACAAATGGCAAGGTTGTTCAATAAGGGCATCGCCACACCACTCTCCGAAATGCGCAAAACGAGAACGAACTTCCCGCCAGAACATGGCCAGATGCACCCGCCGCATTTTTGTCTTTTTCACATTTCGAGGGAGGTGCGCCGAGGCGCTAACACAGTGCAACAGAAGAGGTCGTAAGGCTTCGACGCGTGTCCCAAAAAATTCATGAAGCAACGAGGTCTCAGAGAAGACCAGGTGGGAAGGACGTCGTTTTCCTCTTGGAAGATCGTTTGCAAGGATCCCGTACCTGCAAATTGCAGTTATACCCGACTACTGGTCTCTGCAAATTATGGATATACCTACCACAGTAGCGCAAATTATGGATATACCTACCACAGTAGCGCAAATTATGGACATACCACTGCGTGGACCAGCCAAGTACAGACTACCCAACAGCTGTTTGGCCAGTTGGTAAATCCGTGAACTGCTGAAACAAGGATGAAGGACAGGACCTCGGTTTCTTTTTTTTTTCTTTTTTTTCTTTTTTTTCGTGGGAAAATTTGTCTGGCGCCCCTGTATTTTCCATTTATTTGCGTCGCGCCCCTCCGACATGCGAAATACCCTGCGCGCCCCTGGGCCTGAAAATCTATCTGGCAGGCCCCCGTCGGTAGTGGCGCACCTTTCCATGACGCCCTCCCTCAACCAGCGGTCCCATTTCATTGGGCTATGTGCCATATGCCCTCGTAAGGAGCACCCATCTTCCTGTGATGCCCCTGCAGCAGTTTGGCGCTGGAAATTTGAGTTCGATTTCGAAAAGCGTTCTTGTTGACGCGCTGCCGCCATTTTTCTTGACGCGCTCGTCCAACCTCCTGTCGTCTTCGTTTTCGCTGGCCATCTACCATCGCAAGGTGAGTGTCCCCCCCCCTCTTAGTTTCCG